GGTTTCACAAGATACAGATCACAAAGACCCTGAGGATAAAATGAGATGCAGTAAAGAAGCCAGACAAAACCTACCACAACCAAGATGGCAATGAAAGTAACCTCTGGTTGTCCCTACTGGTCATTAGATGCTAATTATGATGCATTAGCATGCTAACAGGCACTCCCACAGGGCCGTGATAGTTTATGAATGCTATGGCAATGTCTGGAAGAAGTTACGCTATGTGGTCTAAAACAGGAAGGAACCCTCAGTTCCAGGAACTCTCCACCCCTTTCCCGGAAATCTCATGAATAATCCATTCCTTGTTTAGTATATCATCAAGAAATAACCGTAAGTACACTCCAAGCAGCTCATGCCACTGCCCTGCCTATGGAGTAGCCATCCTTTATTCTTTTACTCTGTAAGAAATAGACCTGCTTTCATTTTACTCTATCAGCTCACTCTTGAATTCCCTCCTGCTCAAAGCCAGGGACCCATTCGTAGCCTCCCAGGCTGGATCCCAGTTTTGGAGTTTACCTTGTGACGGTGGCACTGCTCTCCAGCCTGGGCAACAGAGTAAGATCCCGTCTTTAGGGAAAAAAAAAAAAAAAAAAAAGGTTGTCCTTGGCAGGCAGTGCGCCAAAGCCCCAGAGTCAGCAGGGGGGAGTGGGCGAGGAGCTGAAGAAAGTTGAGCCGATTCTGTCTCCTGCTTTCCTAAGAGATACGGGGGCAGATCCCAGCCAAGTAAGTCAGCTCGCAGAAGGGCAGGCCTTGCCTGCTGGTCTCACAAGGCTGAGAAGAAAGACGAGTTTCTAAGAGACGGAAGGACTCCCTACATGGGAAAGGGAAGTGATTTTAGCCGAGTTTGGCTGGGAGTGTGGCTGACGGTTCCAACTCATGCGTATTAGCAAAGGGGAACAAGGAATTGCTGAGGGCGGCAAATTGGTTATAATTAAGAGAACCTGGGAGACGAGAAACAATGTGAAGGCCACCAGCTGTCCTGGATCTGTCCTGGGTCTGGAGCCAGGGGGTTGGAGGGATGGCTCAGGAAACCAGCCGCCCTCCCCTGCAGTGTAGACCATTCAGCAGGACGGAGCCTCTCTGCCTTACATTCCCAGGGTCCACGGGATGCCCTTGCTCTGGGTCTTCCTTCCTGCTTCACTGTCACCTTCTCTTCCTCCACAATTTAAATGCGCCCATCTTGTCACTTAGGAAAAGCAAACAGGCGTTGGAGTGGGCTCAAGTTCTGACTCTATGTTTTTTTAATTTTTTTTAAAATTTTAGACAGAGTCTTGCTCTGTCGCCCAGGCTGGAGTGCAATGGTACAATGTTGGCTCACTGCAGCCTCTGCCTCCCGGGTTCAAGCCGTTCCCTTGCCTCAGACTCCCAAGTAGCTGGGATTACAGGAATCTACCACCACGCCCAGGTAATTTTTGTGTTTTTAATAGAGATGGGGTTTTACCATATTAGCCAGGCTAGTCTCAAACTCCTGACCTCAAGTGATCCACCCACCAAGGCCTTCCAAACTGCTGGGATTACAGGCATGAGACATCATGCCTGGCTGGTTTTTACATTTTTTAATTTTGGGGGAAAAAAATCAAAAGAATAGCATTTTGTAGCATTTAATGACGTGTGAACGTTATATAAACTTCAAGTTTTGGTGTCCGTGAAGTTTTATGGGAACACAACCACGCCCATTTGTTCACATATTGTCTGTGGCTAATAACAAAGGGAGGTTGGCGGACCCTTATCCTCCACTCCTCAGGGAGTTGCCCTGATGGCTTCAGGACTTGTTGGAGTCATTGAGGGTCAAAGTGGCGCCTGTGGTTCTGGTCAATGGATCTGAGACTATAGGGTGTGCAAAGTCTAAAATATTTAGTATTTAGCCTTTTACAGAAAATGTTTGCTGACTCCTGACATAAGTGGTCAGTAAAATGTATCCTGTTATTAGTAGTATTATTACTGCTACTGTTATCTGTTTTGACTTCATTTAAACTTTCAAATAATCATGCTCATGCCTTAATAGAGAGATTCTAAACCTGAGATCCATGGAAGGGTTTCAGGAGGGGGAGGGGGAGTGGTCTCTGGACCTCTGCAGTTTGGCAGATGGAGTCCTTCTTCAGGGAAGAGGTTCCATTCCAACCCCTAGTCCTCAAAGGGGATTGTGTCATCAAATAGGTAAAGAAGGGTAGGTTTGATTCCTTCCTTGACCTAGGCAAATGGATCTGCACTTTCCCTGGGCTGTCTGGAGGCCACATCCTTAAAGATGAGCTTTTTGGGGTCCCACCCACTGCCTGTGTTGAGGGGCCTGCAGTTCAACAGGAGTGAGGACCCCCAGCTTTGGAGCCAGTGGTCCCAGGCTGAGTCCGAACCTTGGCAGCCCCTGGCTGGACCCCTTCTCTGACCCTCGGTTTCCTTGTTGGGTTGCTGCAAAGATGAAATCGGTAATGTCTGTTGGTTACTTGAAACAGCGTCTGGTACATGATAGGTACTACAGAGACGGGAGTGATTATTAATCTTATTGTCCTTGCGCATTCAAAAGTGCTTTCCTCAGCTCACTCAGACTCAGAAAAAGCTGCCTCTGTATTTGGCTGAATTTGAGATCTGAATACCCCTCGAGGGCTCTTAATCTGTATCTTTGGTACTAGCGACTAAGGCAAGTCCACTAAGCATACACATAATCAATATGCAAAGAAGCAGTTCTCTCAGTGATGTTTTTAGAAGTTCAGTGACCTCATTTGAACAGAGACAATCGTATTAAGAGTGAAATAAATGGGATCTGCAGCTTCACTATTGCAAGAGCCTTGGCTGTTGTGGAGCGTTTGGTGTTTCCCTCGGAGGGGTTACTCTGGAGCTCAAGCTTAGGTATACTTTCCCCCTGAAACGCTTCTCGCGGAGCCCCTTTTCCCAGTCCAGTCACCCAGAGCTAACAGGTTTATTCCAAAGCCCAGCAACCACCATCGGGAGGGTACAGGGTGTCCTTGCAGCCAAGCTGTCCTGGAGATGGGCGTCCTGCACACAGACTGGTTCCTATCCAGCCCGGCAGGCACTGCCCGCCCGCAGCTGCTGGGCATTGGCCCATTCAGCCGAGGCCTGGTGGCTCCAGACAACAGCTGGAGACCAGAAATGAAGACTTCCAGCTACAAGCAAATGTTGCTGCTTCTTGAGGTTGAAATATTCTATCCCTAAAAGTGTCCCTTTCAGCTGAGCAAAAACAATCCCCCATCGGGACCCGACCTCGCCACAGAGTAACAAAAGCTTCCCAGTTCTCTGAGCCCCAGAGACTGTCTGCAGTTTCAGGCACGCATGGCCCAGAGGGAAGAGAAGATGGTCATGTGACTTCCAAGCTTGGAGACAAGGTCACCCTTGTCCAGTGCTTTTCCCCTTCACAGGAAGAAAAGCTTTTGAGTGTCTGACAAAGGATGGGCTGGTGCTGCCCTGGTGCTGGCTCCCGGAGTGGTGGGCTCTCCAATATCTGTGTCCCTCAGGTTCAGAACACAGGTCAAGGTCAGTGGTCCCCAGAGGCCACTCAAATGTGTTTGGGGGTCTCACCCTGTCCTCACTGTCCCATCACCCTAAAGGGGTTCTTTAGGTAGGACAGTTGTGCGTTCTGGCTCCATTTATTTATTTTTCTGTGGCAGCCTAAAGCCTAATTTGTCTCTAGGAAATTCACCAGCAAGGCCACCCCGTTTGTTTTCCACCAGCCATTTCCTGCCATTACAAATATTTTCCTTCATGGAAGGAAAGAGCTTCTGGGAGAGAGAAGGAAAGCCCCATGAAGATAAACACTCAAGTGAGGCTGACCTTTAAAGGTGCCATCACATTGCAACAGCTGCAGCTGTGTTCGGGGTGGAGGCAGAAGTTAGCCAGGGTGGGGGACAGTGGTGAAATCAAGGGCGCAGACTCCATGTCGAGGCCACGCTTCCAGGGATTCTGACTGGGTTGGGGCCCAGGGGCCTGCAGTTTAACAGATCACGTAGGGATTCCCAGGCAAGTGGTCAAATGCATCACACCGAGAGCCACGTCTGCGTCTATGGCAGTGGTAATATTCTTTAGTGGGACTGGGCTGTGCTTTCTTTTCTCCGAGAACCCTATCCTAGCAAAAACTGGCTGGATGAGGGAGACCACCTGGCTAAACTGTCTCCTGAGAATCTGGAACTGGAACTCGAAGCACCAGCAGTTTGTGTGTGCTGGTCAGGTTAGAAGCTTTGCCAGGCCAGGTGGCTCACGTCTGTAATCCTAGCACTTTGGGAGGCCGAGGAGAGGGAGATCATCTGAGGTCAGGAGTTGGAGACCAGCCTGGCCAACATGGTGAAACCCCGTCTCTACTAAAAATACAAAATTTAGCCGGGCGTGGTGGCAGGCGCCTGTAGTCCCAGCTACTCAGGAGGCTAAGGGAGGAGAATTGCTTGAACCCAGGAGGCAGAGGTTGCAGTGACCCAAGATCATGCCACTGCACTCCAGCCTGGGTGAGAAGAGCAAAACTCTGTCTCAAAAAAAAAAAAAAAAAAAAAGGCAGCTTTGCTTGTGGGTTCTTTGGCTTCCAGGCAAGTCCCCGTCTCCTGTCCTACTCTGCCCACCCTGGTCCTGCCAGGCGCTCCCTCACTGCCTCAGTGCATCCCAGGACACTGTCCCCCACAGCCTTCTGAGGGGTGGTCCCGACACTTACCCTGAGGATGCCGCCTGTGCTCATGTTCCCATGGGTTGGGGTTCAGGCTGTCTGTCCAACACCTGCCGAACAGCTCTGCCTCAGAGTCCCACAGGGACCGCAGTGGACTTAGCTCCCAGAAGGAGCTCATCAGGTTTCTTCTCACACCTGGTGCCATTTACGTTCCTTATGTCAAACAATGGCCCCTGTCTCCACTCAGAAACCCATGTTAGGATACCCGAGCACCATCCCAGACACCTCCTCATTCTTACCCCCCACCTCTATTCTAGGATGAAAGGACCATCTACCTTTGATGGAAAACATACTGCAGGTAATAATAATTCATAGCCCAATGCCACATAAAGGCAGATACTGTAACTGCCCCCATTTGACAGGTGAGAAAACAGGTACACAGGGCTGCATTACTCACCCCAGGTCACATGGTGAGTGGTGGAGTTGGGATGTAAGCCTGAGCTACCCAGCCCCACAAATGTGCCCCTGCCCTGGGGGTGCAGTCAGCTTCTCTCTCCACAGCACTGCTGTGGGGGCCTAGGCATGCTCTCAGTATCTCCTGGCTGGGCCTGTAGAGTCTCTTGACTGGTTTCCTTGCCCTTGGTCTTACCCCACTCTGATCTGTTTCCCCAGATGCAAGGAGGAGAACTTTCTAAACTGGGACTCTGATGTCACTCCTCTGCTGAAACCCTTCAAAGGCTCCCTGTTTTACCCTCACTGGCCTCATAATCAGTGGAGGAAGCTGAATCCTGGAGGGCTGACTCCAGGGCTATGCTCCCAGCTACTGTCCCCCATGGCTTCTCCAAACCTCACCTGTCTCATCTGCAAAAGAGGGAAAGTGATACCCATGGTGAAGAACTGGAGGATGTGCACAGTGCCTGAAGCGGAGTGCCTGGTGCATGGTGGGTGGCTCATACATGGAGCTTCTAGTAGTCTTACTAAAAAGGAAAAGGTATGGCAAGAAGGGGTGGAGAGGAGGAACTGGATGCTCTGAGAGGCAAGGTAAATTCCACCTGGGATAAAAATTACATAAGCATGTCCAGAGTCTCCTGAAGAATAGATTCCATTCCTCTTTCCAGACGGGGAGGCTGAGGCTGAGGATGACAGTGATGGTTCCAGGCCGGCCTAAGCCCAGATCTTTTGGGGGCAGAGCCCTCCCCTGCCCTGGCCCTCCTCGGCTCTGCGCTGCCATGCACTGGTTTGGAATTCCTCATCTTTCGGGTCTTCCCAGCCGAAGGTCAGCTCTGGGTCAAAGCCGTGACAAGACTAGAAGAAATTTGGAGGCACTTAGGAAAAAGTGAGCAAAAGGTGAGCTGGCACTCGAGGAAAGGTAAGAATCCCACCACAGACACCCTCCTCTCGTCCCACAGTCCCTGGGGAAGGCTCATGGAAATGACAAGGTAGGGCCCATCACTGTTTCTACAACAATGAGAATATTTATTTTTTTTCCAGACAGTAAAAATAACATTTTTTTCTCTTTTGTAAAAGTACCATTACATTCCACTTTCTTAAATAACAAAATCCTAAAAATATATATTAAATTGTATACAGTGCGTCACACTTCATCTTATATTTTAAAATACATGATGTTTCTATTTCATTCTCAAAGTTGCATATTAAGAGCATATTTACAAATAAAGCCTTGTCATCCAAAGTCAAAATCCCTGCTGGAAGGTGAGTTTGGATGTGGGAAGGTCTTGACGTGCATGAGCCCCACGGATGGTAGCTCCCCACAAGTGGGGAAGGGCCCCCCAGTCTGTGTTTAAAGACCCTTCCTTTCTGAAGCAGATTTCCCTCTGACTGTCCTCCACGCCCCACTTCTGCCTCCATATCCAGCTCAGCAAGACAAAAGCCTGTGAGATGTGCCTACCAGGGGACTGCAGGCAGAGGGTGAAGCCCTGTCACCCCTGAGCCATCCAGCCTGAGGGAGATAGCTGTGGCTGGAAGGCTTGAAAAACACCCCATACCAGGGAAGCTAAGCTGAGACCTGGCCAGGAGGTAGAACAGTGAGGAAGGTAAACAAAGACACCAGAGGAAACAATCCAAACTCCCAAGGTAGGAACAAAAGCCGACATCAAACACCACACGGGAGATCTGAAACCTAATGGTGCCAGGTGACTGGGTGGTGGGTAGGGAGCTGCCTGGCTCCGTTGGAGACCTGGCCTGGTCTCAGCAGACCCAGGAGGCAGGGTCTCAGAGGCCATCGGCGTATAAGTGCTTGTGAAGAGTAAGTGTGCAGTGCTGGGATGCGTTGGGGCTGGGTGATAGTCTGGAGGAGGGCTCCTGCCTGGGCTGACAGTGGGTATGTGGGTGGAACCACACCCAGGCACACCCGTGGGTTCTGCCCGAGGGCCAGGACAGCTGAACTTACTAGTGCTTTGATCTCTGGGCTTCTGGCCGATTGAAGTCTTGAGCCAGAGCCCACTCTTCTGAAGTTAGAGCAGCCTGGTTTCCTCACTCACACCCAGAGAGGCCTCAAGCCTGTCCTGATGTGGGGGACAGGGTGGGTGAAGGCACTTGGGTTCATTCCTACTCATTCTCTGCTTTGCAAGTGACTGCACAAAAGGGGAGGAACAGGGCACTGTGTGCCTCCTGCCTGCCTTCTCAGAAGGGCCAAGAACACAGAAATGCTGCTAGAAACTAGGGGCCACAGCCGGCTGAGACACAGTAACCACGGGGAGTGACAAGATTGGCTGGTGAGGGGCCGGGCATGGTGGCTCAAGCCTGTAATCCCAGCATTCTGGGAGGCCGAGACGGGTGGATCACAAGGTCAAGAGATCGAGACCATCCTGGTCAACATGGTGAAACCCCGTCTCTACTAAAAATACAAAAATTAGCTGGGCATGGTGGCGCGTGCCTGTAATCCCAGCTACTCGGGAGGCTGAGGCAGGAGAATTGCTTGAACCCAAGGGACGGAGGTTGCGGTGAGCCGAGATCGCACCATTGCACTCCAGCCTGGGTAACAAGAGCGAAACTCCATCTCAAAAAAAAAAAAAAAAAAAAAAAGATTGGCTGGTGAGGGCACACGTGCCAAGAAGGCAGGGCCTGGTGCCAGTGGGGAACAGGGGTGAGGATGGCACGCAGGCCCAGTGCCCCTGCAGCCTCCTCCCATGCTCTGTCACCCCAGCAGAGGCTTTGGGCAGGGTGCTTTCAGAGCTCCGTCCATAGCGGTCCCCAAAGCCCTTCCCCTGCCTCTCCCACATGCTTCTGCCATGTGTTCTGACATTTACTTTCACAGGGTTACCCTCTTCCCACCACCTCCAACCGCTACTTTATCTCGTCTAGGGAGTTTCCTAAAAGTTCAAGTGCCACCTTCTCCGTGCTCCTGGAAGCCCACATCATCTCTTCTGGGACAGTTTCTTTCTTAGGTGCTTACTTAGCCACAGTGGCCTTCTGTGGGGTGTTGATGACTTTCTAACTGGTTCTAACTGAGGCCATGGCCAGACTGCGGCAGGACCCAGTGCCCATGGAGATTTAGCCTGGGATGATTTGCAGCCCCCCTGCCCCCACTGTCCTGAGGCAGTTTTAGGTTTCTCGGGGCTGCTCCACGGATGGTAAGTTGATCCTGGAGGCACTGGGCCATGGCAGGGCCAGGCAGGAAGAGAAGCGCTGGGGCATTCCCAGCACCTCCCAGCCCCTCAGAGGAAGTGCCACCCCCATTGCAGGCTCTGACAGCACACTGGCTTGGGCAGGGCCTCCGCTGACTGAGATGTGAGGAGGGCAAGGTGTGCAGGCAGGCTGCAGGACACCCCAAAGGCCAGTGGTCAGTGTCAGCCCCAGGCAACTGAACAACTGCCCCGTGGCCAGGTGACCTCTTCCTGGGGCCACTTGCCACATTCCCTTTGTGCTGCACATGGATCTATTCACAGCACAGGACCTGCTGGGATGACACACACCTGGCACTTGTGTTTGAGATTCCACAAACAGCACTAATAGCTTGGCGGGGAGACTGCACATGTGGATGTGTTTCCAGAGGTCCTCCTCTTAGAGACAGAGGCCTGTGGACAGCTGCTCTTTCCAGATCAAAGCATGAAGGCTGCACTGTGAAGCTCTGTGCCCTCAGCAGGACTCCTGTGGGGCGGGGGGCAGCAGTCCTGCCCCTGCCTGCCTATGACACACTGCCCGGTTTCCTTCCTCTGAAGGCCTCTCCACCTGAAGCTCTGAGCATCTCTCCTGAACTCAGGCTGGCAAGTGTCACCTCTCCCTGTGGACACTTCCCTTGTGGCCCTCTCTCTTCCCAGGAGTGGCAGGTGCAGATGTGTTGCCAGACCCTCAGTAGGAGCCCCAGCAGGCAGTGGCTCAGGGCTTGGGGGAGGCAGGCCAAGTGCGGCAAAGAGGAAACACCAAGGCCAGGGGCGCAGCAAGCACCGAGGCCTGAGTGCGCTGGGGAGACGCACGTTCTGATGAGGGCCTGGGCCTGGCCAGCAGAGGCACCGGCTGCTTTCCTCAGCTGCTGTTGACAAAGCCTGCTTCCGGATGGCGAGGACTTTTAAATTAGCGATGGCACTTAATCTCGCAACTGGCAGCCGCTACAGCTGTAGCTCTCAATCTCACAGCTGATCCTTGGAGGATCTCCAATTCCCAAACCCACACTTTCCTAGCACCAATCTCTGCAGTTCACCTCCCTATCTAAGGGACAGGGTGGCATGGGGCTGGGGACAAGAGCGCTCTCCTTTCTGAGCCATTCCAAACCCCACTCGGTCCCCACAGAAGCAGCAGAGAGCACAGATGGCCCTGGGGGTGTTTTTCATCTTTTAACACGGGGGACACCAGAAGGAAGAACCGCAGGTCCCATGTCTCATATTGTACTGCCTAAAGGCAAAACCACAAGATTGATACTCTCTGTTCTGAACCGAGAGTTAGCTGAGCCAATCATGGAGAGACCAAGGCCTGGGTCAGGTTCCAAAGGACTACGAGCTGCTCAGGGGCAAGGCCAATCAACCCAATCCTGAATACTTACTAAGTGCCCATAAAAGCCTGCAGGAGAATTGGTTGTATGAGTAAATGAGTGGATGTTTTATACGACCAAAGCTCTTCAAGCTTTCTCTGCAGCTCCATGAGCTATGGAAAGAAGAATCTAGAAAGAAGCCCGTGTGTGAAAAGCGTCAGGTTTGATATAAATGGGGGTCACTAGATCTTATTCTCAGACCCTCGTAGGCTGGAGGAGGCCCTCCTAGTCCAGCATCTGGGGAGCAAAGCTGTCGGGGCAGCACAGACACCACCCTCTGTACACTTTGCTAATGTCCAGGAGTCCACACTTGTATGGGACCAGACCAACTCCCAGGAGTACCTGAGAGTTCTCCCTGTCTGGCCCTGTTCCAAACTGTAAAGACCAGGAGAAACCGATTTGTATGTGGACAAAATAGAGAAGAAGCAAGAAAGATTCAATGTAACTAAACCTACCCACCACCTGACAGTCATCTAGAATGTACCTGAGCCCAGTGCCAGCCATGATCACCTCTGTCACCTCAGCCTCACTGTCCTGACACCCCCATTGCTAGCTAGATCAGAGAGAGAGATGCAGAGAGGGCTGGGCCCCAGGGCCTTGAGTCTCTCTCCTAAGTGCAATCGATGAAGCAGGAGGAATCCAGGCTCTGCCTTCCTTGGCAGCAGGGCACCTCTTCCTGGTCTGTAGGAGAGCACCCTCCGAAGAGGCCAAGGCAGAGGGAGAGGCGGGGAAGAGTCTGTCAGAGAAGAACCACAGGAGAGGTTGACCCCAGCAGCCTTGAGCTCAAGGAGGGACCTCGAGTCCTAGGCACAGTGGGGTTTTTAGTCACTCACAAGGGGATTGCGGTCATCTTGTTGACTCTGACCCTTGAGTTTCTTCTTAAAGATGGAAATTGAAGTGGAAGGCTTGTAAAAAATGCTCCAGATTTCCCCCGAAGTCCCTGGTTGATGACAATCCCTAAGGTCCCCTGAAGCAGGAACACGATGGGATCTGTCAAGTAGAAATAATTTTTCCAACAGATCAGAACAAAGCACTCCAAACAACCTATCATCTCATGAGATGCTGTACCTATGGAAGGGGGTGGGGCAAGGTCTTGGGAAAGACCTCACAGCTACCTCTAAAGATCTGAAGGACCAGTGTGCAGCTGAAATGTGGCCTGTGGCCATCAGGGGCTGAGGCCAAGTACAGCAGAGCAGAGACCACATCAGAATAACAAAGAACTTTCTACCTAGCAGAATTCTTCAAATCTGGAAAAGTTCATCCTGAGAGATAATGAATTTTCAAATTCTTTTATTTTTAATAAAAGAACTATCTTCAAATGCCATGTACCTGGAAGCCCACCTAGCTGAAACAAGAGAAAGGCAAAACCTCTCTGCTTCAAGCAGAGACCCATCTAACCTCCAGCACCGGACTCTGTTGAGCCCCCATGGCTGCCTGGCAGGGAAGCTGCAGCTGATGTCAGAGGAGAGTCAGGCATGCACTTTAGGGCCTCAGCCATGCTGCCAGATGCTGGACGCTGCAGGAAGCATTGGGCTGTCTTGCTGCCACAGAGGATGGGTCAGGACTGAGCCTGAGAGGCTTCCCCAGAACATGTGAATTGTGACTTTAAAACACACACAGACACATAGACACGGACACAAACTGTCTATGTGGGATTTCTGCAAGATATGAAGTAGACGGGGTGGGGAGTATTCAGAATTAGGGGAGGAAATGCAAGGTAGGGGAATAGGAAGATATTTATGGCATATTAAAAGCAGGAAAAAAAAACACACACATAGACACACACACACACACACACACACACACACACACGCACACACACTAGGACATTATTTCCACTGAAAAATTTCAAGTGTAGGGTGGAGGTGACTATGTAAAGTGGTTCCAGTGTGGCCAAAGGCAGCCTTCACGAGGCAATGGAAGAGCTCATATTTAATGTATAAGAAGTCTGTAGCAGAGGGCAAGTGAGACAGTCAGGAAAAAGACAGCTTTTAGTGGACATAAATTTTCAAGGACGCTGCAAAATGAGAAGAGCCTGGACTAGAAACCACAGAAAGATAGAGTGGGGGTCTAGGAAAAATTAGAATGAACTCCCTTCTAAGTACACAAACATCAGTAGCATGAACAATTACCTTTCCTGGAAGCTGGACCTGTTAGACTTGAGTAGCAAAATCAGGGAAGGAAATATATTTTTTCCCCAAATTGGTCAGAATTGGATGATAAAGCTTCCATAAGTTTCTTCAGTAACTGTTTAAAAATAACTGCTAAGCAATAGTTAATAAAATGTGAGAATTCTCTTCCTAAGGATGTCTCTCAATTTCTAGAAGGCATCAACACATACGCATGGCATTGTCCTAGGTATCTTCACTCTTGCATAAAGATCTCTGTAAGGGACTGCACAAGCCAAAAAATGAAAATTGTTGCTTTTGAAGCCAGGAATGTTGCAATCCTCCTTCAAATTGTATGCTTTGGACACACAGCAAACAAAATGCCTCAAACCTTAATGAGATTTGTCCAGTTGTACATTTCACTCTACAGAGGAGGAGGAATGTCTGCTGCCTTCGGTTCCCTCAGACTGAGGCTTTGGAATCATGTGCTGATTGTACAGTTGTACCCAGACAAATGAAGCATCATAGAAAATGAACTCTGAGCCTTCCCCTTCCTGGAATCAGGGAAGCTCCCCCTTGTACTCACTTGAATGTGACGTGCAGAAGTATCTTTGCTACAATGGCTGTGACTGTGAGGATGAGGAGAGTTGCCAGACCATATACTGTCCATCCTGCAAGTGCAAAAGACAGAGCTTACCACACCTGGTTGTGGCTGATTTTCGAAAGGAGGTCTGCAGGGATACCCAAGTGAGTAAGTCTGGCTGAGGGGCTCCCTGCAGGCCAGTGTGGGAGGGCAGCCAGCAAACCCAGCCTCAGGAGCAGCTGAGAGCCAGGCTAAGCATGAGGCCCCAGGTGTTGTGAATACTTCCCTTTGTTCTACAGTCACCCTCAGAGAGGGGCAGGCAGGATGATCCAGAGTCTACTGGACTCAGACTCTAAAGCAGGCATCCCCAATCCGGCCCCCCGCCGCACTTCAGGAAGGGGCACCTCTTTCATTGGTGGTCAGTGAGAGGAGCACAGTATGTAGCTACCCTCCAACGGTCTGAGGGACAGTGAACTGGCCCCCTGTGTAAAAAGTTTGGGAACGCCTGCTCTAAAGGGATGACATGCATTTTGTCTCTGCCACTGGACCCCTGTGCAACCAAGATGAGTTATGTAAACTCTTCGGGCCTCAGCTTCTCCTTCGAGGAATGAGATGTGTGACCCATGAGATACTGCTGAGATCCACAGCCAAATGAAGCACAGGAAGCACTGGACAGGCCCTTCCCCCTGACCTTCTATGGTGGGTCCTGCAGGGACCTGGGGCAGTTTCAAAGCCTCCAGGCTAGGTCACCACTGAGGGTACTTTCCAGTTCTACCAGCTCATAAAGGCCGCACTTCCTTGACTCACTGCATCCTCAAACTCCTGGGCTCAAGCAAACCTCCTGAGTAGCCGAGACTATAGGCATGTGCCACTATGCCCAGCTAATTTTTCTTTTCTCTTTTTGTTGAGACAGGGTCTCATTCTGTCACCCAGGTTTGAGTGTAATATAATGGTGCAATCAGAGCTCACTGCATTCTTGGGACTCCTGGGCAACTCCTATCTCAGCCTCCTAAGTAGCTGGGAACACAAGTGCACACCACCACATCCAGCTAATTTTTAAATGTTTTGTAGAGATAGCGTCTCCCTATGTTGCTCAGGCAGGTCTCGAACTCCTGACCTCAAGCAATCCTCCTGCCTTGGCCTCTCAAAGTGCTGGGATTACAGGCATGAGCCAATGCGCCTGGTCTGCATGACTTTTCTTCATAGCTGTTATCTGATTTTTATTTTGCTTTCCATCTTTCTCCTTTCATGTATATGCCACAGAGGGGCATGGATTGTGTTTGGTTCACTATATAATCCAGCGCCCAGAACACTGCCTGGCACCACTGAAGCACTTATATACCTTTTGAATGAATGAGTGAGTGAGTGAATGAATGGAGTTCTTGCAAATGCCAGTGGATGTAGGTAGTTTCAATGTGGGGCTCTAGAAAGATAATCTCAATGTGAGAAAATACGGGATTAGCTGATTAGTCACAATGTTCAAAAGGTACACTTGCCTAATCTTTGGAGGTTAGCACTTTTTCCTTGGGACTAAGGAACCAAGCTAATAAGAAAATTTCCCTCAAAAGCCAGGACAGACTATGGGTCACAGAGTCAATATCCCAACCTGCCTTTGAATGAGAAACACCCAAGTACTTTTGTCTTTGTAACTGTCAAGAGCGCTACCTTCAACTCTGTGGCTTCCAGCCCCTATGGGTGGCGCCCAGGAATTGCTACCTGGGACAGTCTGAGGTGGGTGGCTGGGGCTGGTGGTGATGACATAGAGGACTTTGGAGGACCGGGCAGCGCTGACGCTGAGGTTGGCCTGCTCTGTGATCACCTCAGCCACCGTCTGGTTGACAGTGGGCCTCTCCTGTGGCAGTTCTTCTTTGACAGCTGGAAGAAAAAAACAAATTAACCGGGCAGAGGGCTATGGAGACAACAAAGAGCTGTGCAGGAGGAGAGCATGAGTGACCTCCTTCTCTGACTCCATTCTGTGTGCAATGCCCTCCATGGGTGGGTCCTACCAGCGCCAAAACAGAACCTGTCAGGCTCTCGCCCTTTAGGAGGCAGAAGGGTGAAGCTGTCAACTTCACTGTTGGTGGCTAGTCTCATCTCAGACACCTGGGTGTGCTTTCCAGGTCCTCTGCCCCTGCACTTGGCAGCTATGGCTCCCTAGGCCTGCTAGGTTGTCTTCTTTCCTACTGATCCAGATCCTGCCTGTTCTTCAAGACTGTCCCACCTGCAGAGGAGGCCTCTTCCCATGGTTCTCCTGGAGCACACACTGCCGTAACTTTTCTTGAGGTTTGTTATCCAGGACAAAGACAAGGTCTCACACACCTTCTGTGTTTCTTGTGTCCAGGCAAAGAGACATGCCCAGCACACATGTGTTCACATTACAGAGGCAGAGGGAGTGGCTCCACCTTGGCAGGGTTTGAAGAAAGATGGTAAGCCAGTCTTTTGGAATTAGCTAAGATGTTTAGAGGCAGGAGGATGGATCAGATGACCTTTTGAGAACCTTACAATTGTCCCAATCTCAGTTGTTCCTTTTATTCTGTTTCTTTATTCTTTTAACCCTCCCGTGAAAACTGTCATTAGACTTACTAAAATAGCCAAATTGACAGGTTTTCGCCTCTTTTCTGTCTGGTGAAACATAAACGAGTTATGAAATGGGGGTGATCTACAAGTTGAGTCAGTAGTTCCTGAGGCCCAATCAGGAACTGCCCATGTCTCAAGGGTAAGGAACAGAAGCCCAAGGCACGCAGGCCCTGCATAGCCCCCAAGGAGGCGAGGATATCTTACCTTCGTATAAAACAGCAAATCCCTGGGCCTGATTGATGCGATCAGAGAAGAAATACAAGATGACGAAGTCCAGAGAGACATTGAAGGACAGAGGTGGGCGGCTCCTCCCGTGGAAGCGGGCTAGGACATGGTGGGTGTAGCCGTCCAGAAGCTCCACCATGTCCGCCGAGTCCCTGATGTCAAATAGGGGGAAGCTGAAGTGGATGCGGGAGGCCCCCGGAACCCGGATGGTCCAGTAGCAGACCCTCCCTGTAGCATAGGTGTCGGGGAAGTCAGGGGAATAGACCACAGAAGACATGGCTGAGTAGTTCCCACCACAGGCGCCGACGAGAGCTGGAGGAGAGAAAAAGACACCACGCCCTCAGTCTGGGCCTCTGCCACAGGCGTGCTTCCAACACCAAGGCACTAAGCTTCCTAATGAGCAGGATCCCATTTAGGACATTGTTTCTATCTATAAAACCAGACAGTCTTATGTTTCAGGATCCAGTCACAAAATGAATCGCTGAGACTGGACAAATGACTGTGGAGATGTTCCCCCCTCCGCAGAGACCTTAGAATTAGCACACAGCACAGTGGTGTGGCCTAGGTTGGGGCTGGGCTGGAGTCAGAGAGTCTGGATTTGGGACTGGCAGGGCCAAGTGATGGCAGGGGTGGCACTTCACTCGCAGGCCTCTTGTTTCTCTCAGTTTCAAGGCTGGAAAGAGCACCACCTGCTCCTGTATGACGGGAATGTGCGATGGCGCATGAGACAAAGCACACGAACCACTCAGGCCTCTCTGCAGGGGAGCCACCCGATAAGGTAAAGTCGTCAAAAGAGAAGGGCTTTATAGCTGCTCATGTATCCCTGATCCCCTTGCAATGCTCCCTGAGGGGTCACATTTTCAAGCAGGGAAACTGCGGCACGATAAATGACTTTATGCAGTGAGGAAACATGCTAGATTCTGACCACTCTGTACTGAGCACATTTGATTTCTCTGGACTCCTGTTTTTGATAGGTTCTAGAAAGGGGATGCAGGGATTTCCCATCTTACACTGTGAAATCTAAACAACCTCTTAGAACTGAAACTCCTTGGGAGGGAGTATAGGGCTAGGATTTAAAAAGCAGGCTTTGGGGTAATTCTTCTTCCCTTTAGGAAGAAGAAAACAACAAGCAGGCCGTTTGCAGTGGCTCACGCCTGTAATCCCAACACTTTGGGAGGCCGAGGCAGGTGGATCACCTGGGGTCAGGAGTTTGAGACCAGCCTGACCAATATCGTGAAACCCTGTCTCTACTAAAAATACAAAAATAAGCCGGGCATGGTGGCATGCAACTGTAGTTCCAGCTACTAGGGTGGCTGAGACAGGAGAATCGCTTGGACCCAGCAAGCGAAGGCTGCAGTGAGGCAAGATCATGCCATTGCACTCCAGCCTGGGCAACAGAGCGAGCTGTCTCAAAACAACATCAATAAGTGAATGCTGCTTCTAGCCTAACAATGAGAAAAAGTTTAAAACTCAGAAAGCTAAGGTTTCGTGACAACCAGGGGAACTTAATTCTACAAAATCAAAGGTCCACCAAGGAGAGTCAGGCCACACAAATAGTTTCGTCTTTGAGAGAAGACAGAAGGAAGAGGTGACTGCCAGATAAGTAACCAGAAAGCACTAAAATTTTAACAAACTCTTAAAGGCTAAGAGCGAGTGAGTGTCTCAGCTTTAGGGCAACTGGGAGTCCCAGACACGATGGGCATTTTGCACTCACTTGCGAGCTTTTCTGCACAGACTCTACTCAATGCTTTCACAAGTGACTTGGGTTGGGCAGCAAACCACAGTCCCCCTGGGTGGCATGAATGTGCAGGAGGTGACAGGCTGCCACTGGGGGACAGGCATGAAATACTGCCCACTTCCTCCTCTTTGTACCTGCAGGAGGGGACTCTCCTCTCAAAGAAAGCAAAAGCCTTCAGCTGCTAGGAGAGGGGAAGCAAATCCTCTTACTCCTAGGGCCACTGAAAACAGGCAGAAGCAAAATCTGTTTGCCTCTGGGGGAGGGAGGGAGAAATTCTCCTTCCTGTCAAAGTAACCAGGTGAAGATCCACTGCTTCTGGAGGAAGAGCAGAAGTAAAAGCCATTGGTCCCTGGTTGCCTTGAGCCCCCCACCCTTTTTTTTTTTTTTTTTTTTTTTTTTTTTTTTTTTTTTTTTTTTTTTCAGATGGAGTCTTGCTCTGTCACCAGGCTGGAGTGCAGTGGCATGATCTTGGCTCACTGAAGTCTCCACCTGCTGGGTTCACACGATTCCCCTGCCTCAGACTCCGGAGCACTCCGGACAACAGGTGCACATCACAACGCCCGGCTAGTTTTTTGTATTTTTAGAAGAGACAGGGTTTCACCATGTTGGACTGGATGGTCTTGATCTCCTGACCTTATGATCCGCCCACCTCAGCCTCCCAAGGCGCTGGGATTACAGGCATGAGCCACCACACCTGGCCCGCCTTGAGCCCTCTTGAGCCCAAGATCCTGCAGCCAATGCAAAGTAGAGCTCTACTACTCCTAGAGGGAGGGCAGGAAATTCTCTTTTCCAAGATCTACCACAGACACAAGGCAGTGCTTGGCTGCCAGGGAGAGAAGGGTATGGGAATGCTAACAAGACCTCAGGCTAGTGGCCTTTTCACATCCTGTGTAAGACTGAAGACAGGGCAGGACAACCAAGAACTAGCTCCATGACCTCACCATGAGTACAGCCAGGTAACAAGCAGCAATAACCTACCACTGAGGGAGGGAAAGAGGGTGGAGAAAGAGCTTCTCTTTGGCACAGGCATGTAAGAACACCTTAAAGCTGAGGATGGAACAGGACTACTGAGGAAAACATATGGGTACCCTAGGCTTCACACTAAACACAAGCTGATAGCAGGAGGAATTGAAAGCCTGACGTGCATTGAGAGCAGTGACAGAAACAAGCCAGCTCAACCTCTGACAGTCCGGCTCAGTCCCTACACTATACAGATCTGCGCAAGCGTAAACACTATCTCAGCCCCTTGTGTTCTTCTATACAGTGTATGACATTCAATAAGAAAATTACAACACACATATAAAAGCAAGGGTAGTGGGGGGAAAGACTTATTGTTAAGCAATAAAACAATCTACATAACTAGACTCAATAATGACCCAGATGCTAGAATTATCAGACAGAGACTACACAATGAATACAGTAAAGAATCTACTGGAGGCGAGGCATGTAGCTAATGCCTGTAATCCCAACACTTTGAGAGGCCAAGACAGGAGGATCTCTTGAGGCTAGGAGTTCAAAACCAGCCTGAGTAACAGAGTGAGAACCCATCTCTACAAAAAATTTAAAATTAGCCATGCACGGTGGTGTATGCCTGTAGTCTCAGCTACTCAGGATGCTGAAGGAGGAAGGTCACTTGAGCCCAGGAGGTCAAGGCTGCAGAGAGCTTTGATTGCACCATTGTACTCCAGCCCGGGCAACAGAGTGAGACCCTGTCTCTTTAAAAAAAAAAAAAAAGACTCTACTGGAAATCAAATAATATTGGTGATGAATTCTTTTTTTAAAAAAATTATAGAATGCTTCATGAATTTGCCTGTCATCCTTGCACAGGGGCCATGCTAATCTACTCTGTTTTGTTCCAATTTTAGTATATGTGCTGCTGAAACAACCATTGAAGAATTCCTTTGGTGGGCTTATCAGCAGACTAGACATAGCTGAGGAAAGAATCCATAAACTTGACAGGTCAATAGAATTTATCAAATGGGCCGGGCGTGGTGGCTCAAGCCTGTGATCCCAGCACTTTGGGAGGCCGAAGCGGGTGGATCACGAGGTCGAGAGATCGAGACCATCCTGGTCAACATGGTGAAACCCCGTCTCTACTAAAAATACAAAAAATTAGCTGGGCATGGTGGCACATGCCTGTAATCCCAGCTACTGAGGAGGCTGAGGCAGGGGAGTTGCCTGAACCCAGGAGGCGGAGGTTGCAGTGAGCCGAGATCGCGCCATTGCACTCTAGCCTGGGTAACAAGAGCGAAACTCTGTCTCAAAAAAAAAAAAAAAAAAAAAAAAAAAAAAAAAAGAATTTATCCCCAAATGAAACAAAGAGAACAGAACACCCAACAGCTATAGGACAGTATCAAATGGTCTAACATATGTGTAACTGGTGTGCCAAAAGAAGAAAATAAGAATGGAGCAGAAGAAATATTTGAAGAAGTAATGGTGAAAAATGTTCCAAAATCAATACATGGTGACAAACTACAGACCCAAGAATCTCAGCAAACCCAAGCAAACCAACAAAAAATTAAAACAAAAGTGAAAAAAAAGAAGAAGAAGAAGAAAGAAACCAAGTAACAAACAAAGAAGATACACTTGGACACATCATAGTTAAATGTTGAAAACCAATCTGGGCATGGTGGCTCATGCCAGTAATCCCAGCACTTTGGGAGGCAAAGGCAAGAGGATTGCCTGAGCCCAGGAGTTCAAGACCAGTTTGGGTAACATAGAGAGACCTTGTCTCTACACAAAATTCAAAACGTAGCTGGGTATGGTGGCACATGCCTGTAGTCCCAGCTACTCAGAAGGCTAAGGCAGGAGGATTGCTTGAGCCCAGGATGTCAAGGCTGCAGTGGGCCATGATTGCACTACCGCACTCTAGCCTGGGTGACGGAATAAGACCCTGTCTCAAAAAAAAAAAAAAAAAAAAAAAAAAGGTTGAAAACCAAAAACAAAGATAAAATCTTGAAGGCAGGCAGCGAAGGGGAAAAGATTACATACAGGGGAATAAACATAGAGCAGACATCTCTAGAAACTATACAACTCACAAGAATATGGAGCAACATCTTTGAAGTACTGAAAGAAAAAAGCTGTCAGCACAGAAATCAATACCCAGTAAAAATTACTATAAAAAAATGAAGGTGAAATAAAGCTTTTAAAAACAAAAGCTGAATGAAGCCACTGACAGTCAATCCATAATAGAGAAACTGCTAAAAGAATTTCTTTAGGGCAAAGGAATATACCAGATGGCAAATACAAATATGAAAAGATGCTGAATATCATTGGTAATTAGATAAATGCAAAGTAAAACCACAATGAGATACCACTACATACCTACTAGAATGGATCACATTTAAAAACAGATCGCACAAAAGTATCTGTAGCTGGAGAGAATGTGGAGCAAATGGAAATCTTACTATTGTTGGTGAGAATGCAAAATGGCACATCCTCTTTGGAAAATAGTTGGCATTGACTTATAATGCTAAATATGCACTTAGCACATGACCCAGCAGTCCCACTCCTAGGTATGTAAGAGAAATGACAACATATGTCCACATAAGCATCTGTACTTAGACGTTTATAG